ATTTTCCAAGAGCTTTGTTTTTTGAAAGTGATTTGATAGTGGACTCGAGAGTTTCCAGATCGATTATTGAGAGTACTTCTTTATATAGGTCTTGATCTATTGGAAGAGAGTTGTATGCTTTTTGTCACTCAAGGAATCTGTGGAGATTAAAGGGTCACTGGCATAGAATATTTTTAAAGTATAAATTAATGATGTTGTTATGGTGAAATACGGCGAGTCTGTCACTTCTGTTCTGTTTATGCTGTACTATGTTGAAGAATGGTTTCTCCTCAAAAGAGACGTGTATATTTGGCTCAAGTTTAACAATGACGCAGGTCGATCCGTCGATCATATGTCGTAACTGCCAACCTCCTGCGTGATCACTCCTTTGTTTAGTGACACTCTCAAGATAGATAGTCTTTTTAGTGCACAGTGCCTATCCTCCTTGGTTTTCATATTTTTATATTATCATCTTATTTTTATACTTTTTATGCCTGATATAATTTAGCCAGCTTTGGACTTATTATTCAACTTTATACTTGTTATCTATATTGTACTTGATAATTACTCGTTATACCTGCTAGATATTTAAAGATACTAGAAATATTAGATATGTTTTGCATATCTATTATATTACTTTTTATATTCTACTTCATTTTACTTTTATTTTTCTCATTATTTATATAGTTCATTTTTCACTTTAACAATATTTAACTTTACAACAGAAATAATCAAAAAAAGAGACCAAAAAAAACTTCCCAAACCAATATTACACTATATAACCAAAGAAATATCTTACTCAACTTCCAATATATCAGTAACATCATGAAAAAAATGGAAAAAAACCAACTCAACACAGAACTCTACAACTGTCTACAAAAATTTCTCTCTCTCTTCCAAGGAACAACAAAAAACCTCAACCAGCTTACCCCTGAAAAAAATATTCTATTTATCATTTCTTCTGTTTTCCAAAAAAGGAATGTTGATCAAACAGTCACAATGTATGCATATGCAAACTTTTCATCTATTACTTCAGATCTAATCCAAACTGGCAACCCTATAGAAATTAGTGAAACAGTTGATGAACTAATAAAACTATTTGATTTATATTCTCTCTCTACCAATAGTACATAACCAAGCACATCTTACCCTCAACAAATGATTAGTTCTCTTAATAATTCTATTACTACTCCAAATTTTATGGATATCAGTGAAATCAAACCTACAGATTAATCACAATTTATAAACTTCAAAAATGTCATCGACCTTGATCAACTCTCCAAACCCTTCACTATACTCATTCAACTATCTCAATTAAATACATGGTTATTCTCCTTTAATCAACAAATTCAAGAAGAGCTCTAACAAATACATAATAACAAACAATATAAAACTCACCACAAAGAATAAAACTTTTAGCCAATCAATTACTTCCAGCACCCAATGATATTTCTATAATTATCAATATAATCACTAAAATCAAGAATCTATTAAAATACTTACCATACTTCTTTTAACCAATTTTTAACAAACTCAAATTCAAAGACTGCACCTTTTTTAACTCTTTCACTACAAAAAATAACATTAAACCAGCCTACCAAAAGGAGTTTAACAAAATCAAGAAAGATTTCTAAGAAAAATACAAAAAAGAATGCAACCTTAACTTCACAAATTTTGAAACAAAAAAGAAAATCTGAATGATTGTCTATATCATTCTATCAATCATTTGAATCAAAACACAAAGCAACTATTTACAAAAAACTAAAAAGAAACTATATCAATATACTTTGTCTTTTCTTTTCTCACAAAACTATATATACTTTTTCAGGACCTATAGGCCAAAGTCATATAGATCAAATCTGAATCTCAAATGATATTGCTTTACAATCTACCAGAATACAAATAATTAACATGAACTAAAATTCCACAGCAATCACAAAATCATCACACTCATATTATCCAACTTTCTAATAGCAAAAACTATAAAAAAAACACCTACTATTCACTTCAATTTCAACAAAGTTATAACAAAAAAATGGAAAAAAATAAACACAACTATTGATAATAATCTAAAGCTACTTCCCAAAGAACTAAACATCCAAGAAGTCTAGAAATTCTTCAATTCAATCATAACTAAAACTCTAAATGAATCAGTTCTAAAAACAAAAACTTGCAAAAATACATCACAAATCTTCAGCAAAAAAGACACTATCCTTCACAAAAACTATAATTCCATATATGCAATCTCACATCACAATCCCCTAAACCACTTGACCAATCTATACTAAAAGATCTAAAAGAACTCAACCTCTCCTATACCAACAAAAATGATCAAATCAACTCTCTTAAAAAACTATTCAAAATTATTCATAAACTTTCAAAACTGAAAATGACTTACAAAGAAAAAAGACAATCAACAAAACTATAAACCAATAAATAATAAATCTCCAAGACAAATCAAAAATAATAATAAAACAAATACTTAATTACAAAACCTCTAATGCATCCTTCCCAAAAATTATCAATCCTATCAATGACAAAGTAATTACTAACACATCTCAAATCTATTAAATAATTACAAACCATTACAAAAACATATTCTGTAAACGAAATATCAATAATGAACTCCTCTACAAATGGAAAAAATATTATTTACCACTTAACAATATCAAATTTTCAATATATGATACACTTATAAGCCCAATTTCCAAATACAAAATCACTGAAATTATCAACTCATTACCAAACAACAAAGCATCCGGACTCTCCAAAGTCACATATTTTTTCATCAAACAAATTCAAAAAACACTTACCTTTTATCTTTATACAATATTTAACCAAATACTATCTATGTAGGAAATCTTAACAGACTGGAAAAATTATCATATCTTTTCAATTAACAAAAAACTACAATGGAAATACAATATCCAAAAAATGAGACCCATAACACTAGTCGACTCCTTTAGGAAAATACTTACCAAAATTTTAATAAGAAGACTTAGCCATATCCTAATGACCCACAACATTCTTCAAAAAGCAAACTTCACAGGTCTTTCTAATCAAAGCACCTTTGAACCAACTCAAATTTTCAATTCAACCTATAATATTCACAAACTTATACAAAAAGAACTATCAATTTTCTTTCTTGATATCAGCACAGTCTTTGACTCAGTAAACTTGGATATGCTCAAATAATCAATATAACATCTTCAAATATCAAACTCCTTTATCTTCCTAACTAGTAATATCCTTACAAACTGCACATGCCAAATAATTACAGACTCCGGCCTTATACAACAAATCATTATCCCTAATAGAATCGACCAAGGAGAAACACTTTCTTTCCTTTGGTGGATAATCTTCTATGACCCCTAATCACTGTTCTAACCCAACAATTATTACAACTAAAACACAATACTATTGTATACATAGATGATTTTAACCTGCTTGCAAACTCAAAAACTGAAATTCAAAACAACTTAAACATAGCAACAGAATTTTTCAAATTCAATGATATCAAAACCAACCCTATCAAAACCAAACTAATTACATTAAATAGCAAAATACCAAATAAAAAAATCCTTCAAGAAAGAACATCTATCTCCCTAGCCTTCAAAAAAGAACCAATTAGAATCTTAGGTATCTGGCTTTCTGAATACAGCATCCTTACATCCAACCATAACAAAATTCTTGAAAATACTAAATCAATTGTCCAATTTTTTAACTCGAAAGTTACAACAGGTTATATGGCAGCATATATCTATAACAAAGTGCTTATTTTACAAATAGAATACAAACTACAAATAACTTTTCTTATATCAAATATGCTAAACAAAATACAAAGAAAAATCAACTCAATAATCAAGTACAAATTTTAAATTGAAAAAATACTTACACAATCATAATTCTACAATCTACACATCTTCAATATCAAGTTCATAACAGATTTACAATCAAAAGTTCTAATCTTTAACCTTTAATATACACTATCAAACCCCACTACCAAGTCAAACAAAGAATTAAAAATTAATGCAATACAAATACAAAACTGTCAACCTTTCTGTATCTTCCAAAATCACCAAACTATCAAACACAATATAACAACTTATTTAATATATCTTGCCAAACACTACAATATTATATTCTGCTTTGAACCAAACTGTCATCACAAAATCCCAGGAGGAAATACACCAATCTATCAACTTCTATCACATTATAAAAATTGGTCAACATTTGCAGACTAACTTTTCAAAAAAAACATCTTCTATATTGAACAACTACTCATATACAATAACAACAACCTAACAAATTGGCAACATATTTCTACCAGATTCAGATTTAACATCTATGGCAAAACACCTTTCTGATATAAATTACTATTACAACAAACTGATACAATTCAACCAAACAAAAAAAGAAAATGGATTGCAATTTTTATAAACACAATATATCTTAACATCTTAATATTAATCATATAATGAATTTTACTCTATTAATAAAGATTATAAGAAATGCCTTACTTAACAGTAAAATAATAATAATAATAAATAATAAACAAATAATAAATATTAATTAATGCAATTAATTAATATAGTATTAAACTATTTATAGAAATATTTTTTATAATCCAAATAAGTTCAATAAGATTAATAATAAAGATTCTATTGATATTTTATCATATATCAAAAATAATTCCATATTTAACTTGAATTCTAGTTATTACAGAATATAACAAATATCTATATACCTTATAAAAATATAATTCTATTAATATTTCAAGTTTCAAATATTTTAAAGAGATATACAATTATATTTCAATTCAATATTTTCTCTATTGACTTGTTTGTACTACTTATATAATATTACAAAATCTTATATAAGTATAAACCAGAATATAGATATACTTATGAAGTATAAGTTGATATTTTAATAAAATAAATAGGACAAGTAGCATCTGTTAATATTAGTATCAGTTAATATTAAAATTAGTTAATATTAGTATTAGTTAATATTAGCATTAATTAATAATACTGTTTATGTATAATTAAACAATAAAAACCATACATACTGTATATTGTACTTTGACTCTATAAAAATAATAATTATTATTATATATAGTATAATCTTGAAATTTTTTTTAATATCAATAATATAAATATTAAAAAACTTTTTTTATTAATTTTTTTATCAATCCAAAAAACAAATATTCCAAAGAAGTTTTATACTTCTTTATAATATAATTTATATATTTTTCTTAATAATATTATTATCTAAAGATTCCAGTTTCTTTCAACTTTTTACTTTTTCTCTTTGAAATAAACTTTTTATATTTTTATAAATAAACATAAAAAAAACTTATTTACAAAGTTAAAGACAAAAACATTTTGTTAGAAAAAAGAACAGAAAAAATATATTCTTTTTTTTCTTTAGAAATTCAAAACTTTTTATTTTTTCCAAACCTTTCTTTTATTTTTTCAAGTATATAAAAATTTTTTTTATTTTTCTAAGGAATTTTATCTATTTTAATTTGACTTTGAATTTTTTATTATGCCAGTTTCCAAATAATTATTGACTTAAAATTTAAACTAATTAATCTACATATATATAGCAAGAAATATATATCTTATTTTATACAACAATAAATCTGATAATATTATTGAATACAGTAAAAAGAACAAGATAATAGGATATTCATTTTGTTAAGAAATATTTATAATGCTTCTCTTTTTCTCTTAAACTAATTTATTTTTTTTAAAAAATCAAAAAAATCTTATTTCTATTTAATAATAAGCTTACTCTATTAATAATTATTCTAAGAAGACATCAAACTATAATTCTTTAAGATGTAAAACTTGTTTTAAGCAATAATTTCTTAAAAACATAAGTTTTGTTATAAGTATTTTAAATATTTTTGATTAGTAATAGAATAATAAAAATTAAATGATTTGTCTAATTACAAGTAATAATAAAGAATTTATTCTAATGAATTGAATTAATATTGGGAAGTTTTTATTTATTAGAATATTACTTATTTTTTTCTTCTTTATTTTATTAAAAAATATTTTTTTTTTACTTTTTATAATTATAAATTTGTGAAGTAACAATTTGAATATAAGTTAGTTTTGATTTTTTAAAATAAATATTTTAATATCTAGTCTTAAAAAGAAACAATTTTTATTATTTTTTAAAATATATTTAGAGAGTTGAGATTTGAAAAGTTTAAAATAGTTAATATCATGCAGTAATAGCTTAATGAATCTATTTTCTTGTAATAAGATAGTAAATAGTTAAATAATATAGATAATATAGTAGTCTTAATATTAAAGTCAAATATTATATATAAATTTAAATTTATTAATAAATGTTCTACAAAATAAAATTAGTTTGGCTTTAGTATAATATTATATTGTATATTATATTGTTGTTATTTAAAAATTAGATTAATAAATACTAAGATTTGCAATCTGATTAAAAGTAAAAAATAATTAATTAAAATAAATATTAATTAAAAAAACTTTGATTACAATGTATTATATAAATTGCCTAATTTTTTATATATATTATATCTAAATAATCAAATCTTAATCGAATTTAATTAGGCTATATAAAATAAAACTTTGATTTTTTGATAATTTCAAAATTCAAAATTAAAAAATTAAAACAATAAAAAATTATATAAGAATAAATATTTAATTTAAATTTATTAAAAAATTATGTAATCTAAATTGAAATAAGAATTTTTTAATTTGAAATTATTTAAAGTCATAAATAATAACAAATAGATTGTTTTTATTAAAATGCAAGCAAATAATATTTAAAAATATTTCAATAATCTTTTTTTTTTTTGAAAAATCAAATAATTTGAAACTAGTAAAAGAATTTTTCATTTCTAGTAATAAATCCTATTCAATATACAAGCCTATCTTATTGGAATAGATGTTAAATACGTTTATAGATATAAAATGGATTGATTTAAATAGATATTTATATACAATATATATATTGATATTCAATAAAAATACAAGCGCATTAACAATTATCTGAAAAAAAAATTATTTAAATTTGAATTAAATTTTATTACAAATTTTCAACCAGTTTTTTATTATTAAAAAAATATAAATTAATTTTTGAAATATTATTATATTAATATATAAAACTTATGAACTTAATCTTATAATTATTTAATTATAAATAAATATAAAATTCTACTTTTTTTTGCACCACACAGTATTCTCTCTACTTATAAAAAATCAATGTTTATAATAAATATATTATTGTAAAAATACAAAGCCTAGTAAATTTTTAATGAGCATTAAATAAATAAATCTTTAACGTTATACAGTATTTTACAAATTTATAAAAATAAATAGATATATAGAAATAAGGGTCACCACTTGGATACACGATAAGTTATAGCAGCAAATGGTACCACCGCATCGGGTCTATAAACAACATATTCTTCATAATTTAATCGGTGTCCCACGCGCCCGTGAACAGAGTGGCAAGGGTAGGGAGGTTCGGTCAAATGCGGCATGTCATCAACCGTTTTGTGAGATCTTGATTTTGAAAAATGTAATGAATTAACACCAATACGCTAGATATATACAAGAAAATTCATACCTTCCCAAAGCGACAAAGCAAAATAGAATTGTATATAAATCTCCAGCACCTCCTCTAGGAGTGGCGTAGCTATGTGCCTTTGAAGAATTAGGAGCAAAATAAATACCAGAACCAAATCTAGATTGTTTAAAATTAATTATATTTTTAATATCAATATAATGATGAATTGAGGCTCTCTTGGAAATAATCATACCTTTTAAAAGGATTAGCAGATCCACTCTTGCTTATGTCAAATCCCCTGCTTAGTATATTACACCCAGCACAGCTCTCTGCTGAATTAGGATCACAGGGCTTATCAACAAACTTGCATTTCACGGTTGTCCCGTGCCATAGTGGCTTCACATTTGGGTCGTCAAGCATCAACAGTAATTCTGACGTGTAATCATCAAATCTCTGACACACTCTTTTATCACTCATCATGAAAGACACAAATTCGACACTAGGTATTCCCATATGCATTGGGTGTTTCCATGTGGTATGAAAATGGTCTACAATTTTTTCGTTGATTTTGCGTGTCCCAGCGAAAATGGCGGCATGACGAAGAAGATTATCAGAAGTGAATATTTTCATAAGCGCGGAAAAATCAGGACGATTCAGAGGATTAATAGCTATCGTTCGATAATAATTTAGTTAATATATGTCGACAAAAAAAAACTTAATTAATATTTCAACCTCGTTCACAATCCTCACAGAGACAACCTTGTCTCGTTTTAGCTTTCATCTTTTCGTATTCCTCTTTTGGAACAGTATTCCATACATCAGAAGTTTCTGTGGTCTTTGAATCTTCATCTTCGGATTCACTCAGATCCCAAATACTGGATAATTTTCCGGCACTCTTTCTATATGACATTATTAAGCAGAAAATTCGGGAAAAAGTTTAAAGAAAACCTTCGGTTTCTCGAAAAATATAAACGTCGTCACCCGTTATTTTCAATACGTACTTTGCTATTTTTGGCCTTTCTTTATACTCTGAGATGCACATGACAAAAAAGGCTAGTCCAATAATGTTTATCGCCATAAAGACTCCGATAACAGAAAAAAATTATATATAGTAGGCATGTGCATACCCAAACTACATTGCAAAAATGGTGGTTCTTTGCGCTGAATGCAAAAGAAAAAGCGTCTTTATTGAACAAAAATCGGGTCAACCTGCTGAGTTCTGCTCAAACCAGTGTCGAAAAACAGCTGTGGAAAATGGTAAAAAAAGATTACCTCTATTTGTTTTTTCTTGAAGTAATATATATTTAAATCTCTTTTTATTCTGCTGCGGTTATTAATATCTGTGCTTCAGGTCATGTACAAGGTTGTATAGTATGTAATATCTATCCGCGAGTTCTTATGTCAAACGGAACTCGTTCACTTTATTGTGGCAGGCAATGTCAACAGAGAGCTGGGACTTCAAATCCTCCACCGGCACCACCCTACGGAGTGAGACCACCAGCTCAACCAGTACAGGGAATAGGTGGTACTTGGGTACCAGTCTCGGTTCCAGTGTGTCGTTATTGTCAAGTTAAACCGTGCTGGAAAGATCCGTCGACACAAGCATATTTATCTTTTTGCGGAAGAACTTGCAAAGAAGCATCTGAAGGTATAATTCGATAAATGTCAGATTACATTTTTTATTTATCAATATCGACTAAATTAGCTTCTTTGACATCAGTTCTTACGCCTACAACACCTGTGAATATTCTTACACCTACAACACCTGTGAATAATGTCTCACCAAATTTACAAAATTCTACAATACTACCTCCTGCACTACCTCCTGCGAGTGGAGTACCTAATTATTCGTTAAATAATCAATTACAGCCAATGAATAGACAATACCAACAACAATCAACGAACGAGCAATATCAACAGCAACCGATAAGTGGGCAATATCAACAGATATCAACAAATGAACCATCGATAAGTGGAATATACCAGCAGCAACCAACGAATGATCGACCGATAAGTGAGATATATCAACAGCAACCAAAAAATGAGCGACCGATAAGTGAGATATATCAGCAGCAACCAATAAACGAACGACCGATAAGTGAGATATATCAGCAGCAACCAATAAATGAACGACCGATAAGTGGGCAAAGTGGGCAAAGTGGACAATATCAACTACAACCAACGAATGAGCGATCGATAAGTGGACAAAGTGGGCAATATCAACTGCAACCAACGAGTGAGCGACCGATAAGTGGACAAAGTGGGCAATATCAACTGCAACCAACGAATGAGCGATCGATAAGTGGACAAAGTGGGCAATATCAACTGCAGCCAACGAATGAGCAATGTCAACCGACAACCGTTAATGAAGATTCACGTTCACCACCACCACCTCCTCCAAATAAACCACCACCGCCGAGGGTACAATTAAACCAAGGAAATATTTCTTCATCAGCAGATGATGAAGTCGATAATGTGTTGGTCAATCAATTTAATGTTCCTCCACCACCCTACGAGCCACCTGATGATAAACATCCGCCTAACGTTTCAGACCGTAAAATTACGCGCGATGACAATTTTGACGAAAATAATCCATATGGTTTTAGGGACCGTTAACAATAATATCACCGGGAAATATCGGCAAAGAGTAAAAATAATTAAAGAACAATATACATTATACACGTTTTCATCAATTTCTTGGAGTAATATCAATGCTTATCATTTTACTTTTCATCTCTGTATATATTGTCTTCACTTGTCTGATATATAAAATAACAAGCTCAAAAATGGGTATTACATAGCAATTTTATTTATACAGTATTATCATTTATGAATGACGTAGTTGAATTTTGTCTTACTTTGGTGAAAATAAATTATTTTCCTTTTGATCATTAGATTAGATTTTACTTATATCTTTACAATTAGATACATTTTTTATTTGCTAATTTATTTATATAACAAGTTTTTATAAAATAAATTAATGTTATAACTATTTCTTATACTATTTGAACAAAAAAAATTTTGAATAAGTATGATTATCAATATTAAAAGATTTATTGTAACTTCAAGTTATACATAACTTTTTTTATTATTCTATTAACTGTGCTAGCATTACATATTTGCTAAATGTCGAACAATCATTGATTAAAGGGAGATTGGAGTTCTTTATACAAGCATATCAAGTCTAACATTTCTGTTTGTAATACAAATACCTTTTAATTAATATTTTTATATATTTTCTTTTAAAATCAATTATTTAAAAATAAATATTGCAAGAAAATATAAGTTTTAGAAAAATTCAATATTATTAAAAAAATTATTGCATTTAGTTTCTAGAAATCATTATAAAAAAAAAAGTTTACATGTATTAAAATTCAAATTTTCAAGTTATTTTGTAATCTTTCTTACCACTTGTGGCTAGTTATTTTTCAAACCAATTAGGCTCTGCACCAGATTGGGATATTCTGGCTAGGGTTCTAATCACTATTGAAAGAAAAGGATTGGGGTTCAATTAGGATGGGATACAGCCCAGTTTGTATATCCAAATACAAGGGAGTCTTAATTAAGGAAGTTAAACATATGCCTCTTGACTTACTATGTTGTTCAACTACTATTGGCATACTTCTGGTGATTATTGTAACATCACCCAGATGATCATTGCATCATAACACCTTTTTCTGGATATTACAATCTTAACACCTGTTGGATCAACGTATAAAATGGCTTTTCATGAAAAATAGCACATAACAGATTATAGTATCAGGTACCATATAGGTTTTATTTAATCATCTTTACTTGGAATTGAACCAATATCTTGAGCTCACTTGTATATTTAACTGATAACCAAATAATATTATATACAATTAAAAATAATAATATTTTTATAAATATATCATTATATACAATATATAAAACTAAGTCAAATATGAAAATTAATAATTAATTCTTATTTAATTAATTAGTTAAGACCATAAAATTATTGTCAAACTTATAAACTAACAAAATTAATCAAATGCTTGAATCAATTTAAGAAAGTTTCCAATTAATTACAATAGATATTAAAGATAATATATTTCTTTCTAAACAAGATAAATTAATTATATTATATAAAGAACTTAATCAATACAAATGTTTTACCAAGTCTATTGTAAATTTCTTCTATAAAATAAAAAGAGAACCCACAAGTCAATTAAAAATTTTTCTTAAAAATATTTTTAAAAATCAAATATTATAATTATAATTTTTTTAAAATATTTGCAAAAGACAATATAATAAAAAGCCAATATCAATTGAAATATAAAAAAATTAAAAAAAATTTTTATATTATTTATCTCAAAACAAATAATATTAGCTATATTACAAAAGCAATCAGAAAAAAGATCAAAGTAATTATTAATAAGGTATTCTTTGTTACTTATCTTAAATCCATTGACATATTTCTTTTAAAGTTTTGACAAGTTGTTTAATTACTTGAATATAAATTTAACTTCTTTATAAATTCTATTTTTTCAAAAATCAATTATTTTTTGGGGAAGAGGTTTTCTCCAGTAGGTAAACATCATTTCTTTATTTATTATTGTATATTGAAAGTATATATTGGGAAAAAAACAATATCTCTTAAATGCATATTGCATACAACAAGTTAAATGCTAGCTTGCTTACTTAATCACTATCTAACTAATATTGTAAAAAATTTCAAAAGCAATATTAAAATGTTAAATAGCAGAGTAGTGGCTAGGGCTTCTAATGATACCACTTTAATACCATTTTGATACCAGTTCGATACTTAAATTTATTATAAAAACATATGAGTAGATCACAATTTATATATTAAATTTACTATAGATTGGTACCATTTCAATATCAGTTCGATACCAGTTCGATACCAGTTCGATACTTTTTCGGAACCCTAGTAGTGGCTATACCTACCTACTTAACAAAATTTATGAAATATTTTGATTTTTTGAATATAAGATAAATGAAAAAAATAACAATTGTAACTAAAACTAAAACTAAATCAAATGAACTATAAAATCTATAAGTAGAAACCCAATTATTTTTTCAAGAAAGTCTCTAGACAGGCACATGGTTAAATCTCTCTGGCTCTTTAATTACTATAGATAAAAGAGTACATGTGATATTGTTTGTTGTTATGGTTGTTGTTGTTGTTGTACTGAAAAACCGGTTTGAGCAGGTTCAGTTTTTTCTTTGTTGTTTTAATGAAATCTGATTGGATGATTGGAGGCGATGATCATTTGGAGGGAGTAAACTGATTTTGGTTTTTTGAACAAAAAGTTTTTGAAATTTTGAAATGGTGCAATAATTGTCATCATGATAGAGGTGTATATAAAGGTTGTATTAAAACAAACAATAGATCATAACTCTGTTTGAGTGTGTTTTTTAGAATGTATTTGATTTAGTGTATATAATGGTATTGATGTGAATGGTTTTTATATTATAATAGGTGAAAGGAGGGGTGCAAGAGAACAAAAGAAAAGAGAACTGCCATGGGTCTTTTCTTATGCAACCGAAGGATAAGCAAGGCTTTCAAACTTGAGTAAACTTTAACTAGAGGTCCCACCCCATTGCACCAGTTGTTTTAAAAGTTTTTAAGTTCTTGAGCTGGAACTCACTTGCGATAAAAAGTATAAAATATTTTTTCTTGACAAAAATTACCATAAAAGGAAATTTTTTAATAAAGTAAACATGATCAGAAAAGAGTCCTTAAAAATCAATTATTATAAAACTTATATCTATAAGAAATTTATTAAAAAGCTTATTAAACCTTTTAAAAAATTCAGAAGATATTTTATCTTTAATTAAAATCAAACTGTTGAATACTATTCTACTATTCTTAATCAAAAAAGTCAATAAAGTTGTAAACAGTTTAAGAGCTTTTTATAACTAACATTTTTCTACTTTTATATTTTATTAAAAAATATATTTACTAACTATTCTCAAGACTTCAAATCAGAGTTTAAGAATATTTTTTCTCTTATTAAAGACAAAAACTTGTTAATTTAAATTTAGAATTAAGCAATTCAAGAAATATTATTATATATTAAACAAATTATCAAAATCATATTTTAATCTCACTTTATAAAAATAATATTATCTTTATTCTATAAGAATCTTTTATTACACTTAATAAAACAATTTTCAATTAATAATAATATTAAAGATTTTAAAAAAGGAGTTAATTTATTAAATGTTAACAACTATATAATAAAATGTTTGCTTTTAGATTATATTAAAGTAAAGTGTCTACTTCTTCTATTTTACTGATATAGTAAAAACAATACAACTCTTTATCTTATCAAAAACTTAAAGTTAAAATTCATATAAAACTGTTACTGAATTTAGAATAGATTAAAAATAACTTTAATCAAAATAACAAATCTAAAATATCAGATAACTTTAATACAATTAGCAAAAGTAAAAGTAACAAAAGAATAACTAAATAGAAAGTTTTATATCTTTAAAAAGTAATAGCTAAAATTAAAAAAGATATATTAAAGAAATTCCAAGAAAATAGATTACTTCTCTTTTACTCAATTTTTCAGACTTACAGATAACTATTTAATATTTCTATAATATTAACTTAGAAGTTTTTCTTTTATTTACTAATAATTTTTATCTTAATAAAAATATTAAGACTATAAATAAACTTTTTTATTTCAAAAAACTTTTTATCAACTTTATTATAGATCTAAAGTTATTAAAGCCTAAGCTGACTCTCTTATTAATACTTTTCTAAATAATAAATAATCAGCTCAACTTTATTTACTTTTTAAAAATAGCAAAAAAATATTTTTTTATTATAATAAGCTTTACTCTAATTTATTAATTTTTGTTGTAAACAACATACATTGTATATTTCTGTTCACTAAAAATTATTACAATTAGAATTCACCCACAGGTATATCATCCAGGTGCAACCTACCTATATGTATTGCCGACTCAAGCTTATTTCAATAAAATAATGTTTTCTAAACTATTGTACGATCCCATACTATACTTTTCTAATCATCCTGTTATCATTTTTATTTTTTCTTTATCTTTTTTCTTTTCTTTTCCTTTTTTCCTCTTTTTCCCTTTTGTCTCTACACTTTCTTTTTTCATTTTTTATTTTTCCTTCCGTGTTTTGTTATTCCCTGTTTTTCTTTCCTTTTCTTTAAGTCCATGTTGTACTTTATCCATATACCCCTCATTCCTTCCTCTAGCTTGTTCATTATGTTTGTTATTGTATGCTCAAGTTCCTTGACTCTTATTTCTCTCAATGTCTGTTTCCATCTTCTAGGCACAATTCCTTTTATTATCTCTGTCCACCCTATTTCTTCCACACTTTTATCTACCATTTTATTGATTTGAATCTTCAGTTCCTTTTCCATATGATTCTTTTTGCTTGTTCTTTCCTTCTCTTTAATTAGCTCCCTTATTTTTTTTATTGTTCTCTCTCTTCTGCTTGCTGTCTTTTTACATTCCCATATGTGTTCTTATGTTTCTTTCTCTTCTGCTTGCTGTCTTTTTACATTCCCATATGTGTTCTTATGTTTCTTTCTCTTCATTACATCTTATACACTTTGTGTCTTCCTTATATATCTCCGGGTTTCTCTATTTTATTTTTTCCAGTGTAGGCAGTTCTTTTATCATCATTTTTAGTAGCCATACCTGATGCTCTACTGATTCTTTTATCTGCCACCTTTTTATTTGTTCCCATGTTTCCTTCCAGTCTATTTTTTCCCTTATCTCTATTTGGTGTAATCTTCTATTTCTTTGTAGTGATAACCAATTTCGTAATTGTTCTGCTCTTATATCAATTTTCTATATCTTTTGCCATCCCCAACTCTGCTGTCCTTCTTGCCATATCAAACCTCCATTCCATATAGGTTCCGTCTCCTCTAGTCATATTTCTTTGTTTTTGAGTTCTTCCTTGGATATTCTATTCATCTCTTCAAATTCTTTATTTGTCTTTTTTTCTTTGACTTTTGTTGCTATTATTGTTTTTCCTATGTTCTCTGTCATCTACCTTTCCATTCTTGTTAGTATTGCACCTTTTTTATCTAATCTTTGCATTCTTTGCTTTGTTCTGTAATCTCCATTAATATATTTGACTGCTGTTTCTGCATCTGTGTATATCCTTATTTCCTCTGCCATTTCTATGTTTTCTAGCCCTCCTATAATTGTTTCTATTTCTATCTGCGTTAAGCTTTTTGCTAGTTTTTTCTGGACGCCTGTTACTTCTTTTTCTTCTATTTTTATTATCTATGCTTCACATCCGATTTTTGATTGTTTGTCCCATACTGTGTCAGTCATTAGTATCACTATTTCTTTGCTCCTCTCTCCTGCTTTTCTTATCTTATTCTTTTTTCTTCCCATAATTGGTATCTCTGCTGCTGTTCCTAGTTATGTTCTTATGTAACCTGTTTTCTCCTCTTGGTTATTATTCTTATTTTTGTTTTCTTGACTACTGGGCTCCAAGTTCCCTGTATATTTTTCTGCTAAATGCATATGTTCTCTTCTCTCCCCTCATCTTTGTTGTATCCTTTACACTTTTTGATCTCTTTGTTTTCTCCCTCTTCTATATAGTGCTCCATTATCAGCCTCTCTTCATCTATCTTCTTTTTCTTTTTGCCTATAATTGTTTCTTTGCCCTCCTGAAATGATATCTATTTTATTCTTTTCATATCTTCGTACTTGTTTAGTCTTGGCATTGTTATTTGTACTATCTTTTCTCTTCCCTCTCTTATCATTTCATCTTTTTTCTTTATCCAAAGCTCTTTTGTTGTTATGTACCATTTGGGTGCTCTTCTCTTTTTTCCTTGGCTGGGGTTTATATATTTCCAATTCAGGATTGCCTTGCCATCTTCTGCTATTATCTGATCTATAAACAGTATCTTCCATTTTCTCATCTTACTTTTTTCTTTAAGGTATTCTTCTTCCCTCCATATTTTTTCTATTGCTATCTTTCCTTCGCATGTTTCCATCCTTTGATTCCATGCTTTCTTTTCGATCCTAAACCCTGCCTTTTTGCATGCGAGTAGCA